TTTAATGTTTTGTTTATATTTAAGGGCTGTTCATCCAACCACAAAAAGATTTGATTAGAAGTTTTATTTCTGGATTATTGAAATACTATTTTTAAAGGAAAAGGAAATACCCACGTCTGTCTACCTAGTTACTATTTGTTGTCTGATTAATTAGGCGATACGCTAGCTTTCCGGTGATGCACGTCGCGTAATCGTTCAACCAGATTTCTCAGTCTCAATCAAAGATAATCGGCTCAATTCACCCGAGACATACTGACATACCTTTTCCGGTTGCGGGCCCCACGGTTTTACCACCAGCAACTCTTCCTCCGCGTTCGGAGCCATGTCCGTCTCACTGGAACACGAAATAAACAAAATACGTCCATCATCTTTGTATATCTCGTATCAAGACAAGTAGTGCATACATAGAGCATGTAGGAGATATTCATGATAGGAGTAATGATCTTACAATTAGAAATGGTATTACACACTATCGGTCAACCATATGATTCGTATTTTGCCAGCAAGTCTGAAATTACTTTAAAAAAATAAACACGTGTTCAATTATGATTGGGTATACTCGAAAATGAACATCCTTATGGATAATTCGAAGATCGTATGTTCGAATCTTGAAAACGGAATGAAAGAATCTGGCTCTTTCGTTGATCCCCGAGATCATTGGTCAACGATACAGTTAATTGGGAAGTTGTACGGCGTCAGCCGGATCGTTCAACTTATGGAACGACTCCGGGGAATTTCATCCGTGGAATTTTCAAACGGTACCTCGTACACTCGTTTCGTTCCGCCGTGACGAGCCAACGCGGCGCGCGGCGCGGCGTTGCCTCGGATGCTTCATTTCAATCACATTTGTATCGCGTTTGGCCTAAAATTCGGTTCCGCTAGCTCCCGGCGGATTTACACGCTCCGCGGCTCCGCTCGAGCGACGCAATTTATTGCAACGATCTATCGTTCGTACATTAAAATATCCGCCCCGTCGTCGTAGAGCGAACCTCGCTCGATCCCTCCTAATCGCGCGCCGCGTTTAAACTGTGCCAATTAGACTAACGAGTTTGCAATGAAGACTTTATTAATTAACAACTTTCGCACTTTATTAGGCACTAGTTGCCTGATTAAGCGAAGTTGTATTAAGCGTTACAATGTTAGGAGAAAATATGCACGCGCTTCCGGGGGATGCCTCCCGTAACGAGAACCGGGATTTTTCGAGCTCGCGTGCTCCTTTTTAGCCGCCGTGGAAATTGCTCTAACAATAATTTCCGACCTCCCGCGATCCCGCCGCGGCGCGGCGTCGTAAACACGTTAATCCCCGCGTAAACGTCTCCCTCGCGACGTGATGAAGTAACAAACGTTGGACACCGTGGAATTTACTCCGAAAATAAACAGGCCGGCATAATTCATCGCCAGCCGGTTAATCGCCGAACGTTGAAATTTAATGGATTGACGCAATTTGAGATCGGCCGAGTGTGGCGATAACATCTAACACGGCGAGACCTGTTATTTGGATAATCTCTCGAAACGGTTTCTTCGCGGTGTTTCACGGTTTGATGCGACGTAATATCGGACGAACCATCTGACGCGGAACGTCCCAATAAACCTGTGTACGCATACACGTACGTTCAAACGATCTGGTAAATACCTTAATTGAAAATCGAGAATATGCGATAATCGTGCAATAAATCATGAACAGCTTCAATAAAATTGTAGTTCAAATGAAAGGATTTAAGGTTGAATGAGCCGTAAGATCTCTGCCAAAAGTTTAAGACGGTAATAAAAAAACTGTGTCCAATATTTGAGGCAATGAACTTTTAGAAAAAACGATAATTACAGAGGAATAAGATTTATAATATTTTCTAAACTGATATTATTTCAACGTTAAAATATTCTTAAAGCGTACATTAAGAATTATACAAAATTACAAAATTCTGTCATCGTTGCATTAATATTTGTTTATACATGAAATATATATTCTGTCATTTGACATGAGAATTCAAGATGCAATAACCTTCTTAACAAGCTCGCAAGATTTCTAAAATTTTGCATAGTGTTTTATTAATGTAATATCTAGTAACTGTTAAAATTTCAATGTTTTGTCATCGTTTTTATGTAAGGGTTCATGCAACCTTAATCAATTTTAAGGAAACATGCTTGTCCTAAGAATAGGGATCTAAGTATATTTATAAATTAATAGCAATAAAAAATAGTAACAACTGATGACAACAACAATGAGAGTGATATAATACTATTGTAAGTGAAGTAGACGATCAAGAATGACTCATTCGGACAAAAGGGTAATGAGATTATGTATGAATTTATATTGAATGTTTTTTCTCTGTTTAAGTTCCATGATATGGAGACCAGGCTGTGGACCAATATTCCAGACTTGGTCTAATGATAAAGCAATAAATTATGTTCCGAGTGTTAGAATTATAAAAAATGCAGAAGTCCTGTAAATAAGGCCCATGGATTTATAAGAAGAGGTAATAAAATTATAATGATCGTTAAAACTAAGGTCAGTTGAAAATATCAATAGAAATAATAAAACATTTAATAAGTGTTAATATCGTTGTCAAAATCGCATTAGAACTTCGTGTTACGGTAACATTCAGATTCTCCACAGACACAATATAGTATGGGAGCGCAGATGGGCATTGTGGGTTACCCAACGATAATAATAGGAGTCACGACTGGGTTAGTCACGAACTGGCAACTATAATCGTGTATCGAGTGATCGAAGAAGGGCCGGCTGCTACTCCTTCTTGATCAGAAATATCTCGGTAATGTTCGTTCAGCTCGTCCTGACCTTTATGGGTTGGTTGGCTCCGGAATCGTGCCGATTCAGCCAATTCTGTCCGTAAGTACGGCTATCAGTGATAATGACTTAAAAACATTATAATCCAGCCCGTAGAAATTGGTTTTCGGTTGACTCGAATTTCGGGGACCGTCGAACGTCTCCACACGAGTTTACGACAAATAGAACACGGTAACGGTTTGGGAGAATCGCAGGTAAACAGGCTGAGCTTCTACAGTGGCATTAAGAAGGTTATTGATCTTTGCCGGTCGGCTTGCTTTCGTGAAAAAAACGAATTAATAGTAAACGTTAAGAGAGGCAATAAGATAGTCGAGATTAATTTGCTACGAACACGGTTCATCGTACTGGTGGGACATTCTTTATAAAGGAGTAGTAGCCGACTTGAAGATCGACTTCGGTATCGCTTGTGTCGGTAGACATGAGATGTTTTCGTCGATATCAATTAATTCCGAAAACAATTAAATCGGATCGTTTCGCGCGTAGTAAGAACTGCGTGTCAGACCATAAACCGGTGATAACGGAGTTAAACAGAGAATCGTGACCGGTTTCAGTTTGGAGAGACAATATTTTTCCTATGAGTGTAAGTAGTAGGTACCGTCGACCCTCGACGGTGAATGCGCGACCAGCGCATTAACACGCGAACGATGATACATTCGAAGTTACGGCGCGGGACACCGTATAATTGCCGCTTCACGATAATTATCGCACGTTTGATTATTATAAGAGAGATTGTTAATTCTCTCGAAGTACTGTACGTAAAACCGCCATAAACGAGTTAATTGCGAGTTTGAAATGTTTGCGATATCGAGTCGGAGTGATTAAACAATCAGGGTGTCTCCCTCGGCGAGCGAGCAACGTCGAAATCCGCTTTAGCATGTAACTTGAACGTCGAACCGGAGAATGCAATCTAATTCAATAGGTACGATGTTAAAATCGTACGAATGCCATCGATGCAAAAAGATGAGATGCAGCCTGGCGAATCGTAGATCCGAGCCGCGTAGCGTTGTCAACAAATCCGGTGCAGCGGATCCAATCGCCGCGGCACTCATCATCATTAATCTTGAAAAACGTTGTTTCAGCCGTGCGTCCTGCACGGTCACGGCGATTCCTCGGCGTGTCAAAGAGCGGCCGCCGCGGAAACGTCACGTCCGTGAATACGGAACGTGCAAGTCGCGAACGCGTGCTCGTCAGATCCGCGATCTTGAGCGGTGGGTACGAGCATAACGTAGTAGCGGAGGTAGCCACGAAGAGAGTAGGTAGATACTTACTCGAGGAGGACAGCCAAGGCATTGACCCGCGCGCGAGCGGTTAGTCACGCATACGCACGCACTTTTCCACGGTTCTCTCGACGGGCCGTATGCGCGTGTACATACATATATGTACACACGCGGCCAGCCTGCGTGCACTCCAGCTATGCAGTCACGGTGTCCTTTAAGGAATTCTAGCTTTCCGTCGCGAATTCCACCGCGCGATGGAAAATTGGAGAAAGTGGCGAGGTGTGCGACGTTTCGGTATGACGCGAAATCGTGTATCGATTTATCTCAGGTTCAACGACACTCGGACGGGGCCAAGTTCGCCTGCGAACCTGGCGCGATCACATAAATACTGACGCTTCTAAAAATCGGGTCAATCGTATCATCCCCAGTTATTCGCTAAACACGAAGCTGAGTCACTAGCTTTAGAATTTCTTCAAATATAAAACCACTTTGTATAAAATAAATGAATTTCTCTATGAAGCCTTCTTATTCTAATTTCTTATATTCAATCAATCTCTGTCATTGTCGTTCGGGGCTTTCGGCGAAACACGAACATCAGAACGTAGTGCCTGACCTGCACTAAAAGTTTTCTACACTTTTCAGTCTGAAAGACGTCAAATTCATCCAACAAACACTGCATTCCAAACGTGGTTTGCACCAAATTTGGCGAATGCGTTTTCTCCTGAGATTCCTAACACGTTCATTTCTCAAATTGCAAACGGCTGGCTCTGCGCGCTCGCGTCTTCCCTTGCGCGTATCCGCGTACAGAAGAAAATAGTCGCGTGCACCATACCAGAACGCAGATTCCGCTGTGAATAGATAATGCAATGCGCGAAGTGGCATGGCGCCACGACTGCTTGGAGCCGGTGTCCTCGCGGCTTTGTCGCGGATCTGCACCGCGAAAAATCCGGCGATCGTCGATCTACGGGTAGGCCATTAGCGGGATATGCGAGAACATGGAATTTCTGCCGTTCTCTAGGCTACGTCCCGGTTCCCCGTCTTTATGATAGCCTGCGCTCCGTTTCGAATCGATTTCGCCTCGATTGTGTGTCGATACGACTCTCAGCTCCTCGATTTTCTCGTTCATTCCTCTGTAATCCGACACCTTCGGCTCCGTGAAAACCCACTGTTTCCCCGTGAATACCCGTGAAAATTTGTAAAAATGATGATTCTACGGGCTGCGAGCGAAACGTCTATATTTATCCAACGCGAATTCACATCATGCGGCAAGTAATTACTTGCTGAACGAAGTCCGTTCGGTAGATCCACGAT